CAGGCTGGAAGGTGCAGTTTGTCCCACTGTTGGCACCCAGTCAGCCACAGGCATGCTCCCCACTCATCCTTGCACTGGTAGCTGCCCTGGCACCAGGCCATTTGAAACATTATCCTGAATAACTGGGATGTCAGGAAAATTGTGAAGCCACACGCAGCCTGGGGCTCACCACTGCTTGGCTGAGCACTGGCTGTACATTCAGGGCTGCTGGCGGCACAGGAGCGGGGCAGAGCGGGCAGGGAAGCTCTCACCAGTAGCAAGGGAGTCGAGGTGAGGAGTGAGCACCCTGGCACAGCCACTTGCCCCAGTGCTTCCCCCCCAACCTCACACTGTCACGAAAGCTGCCTCCGAACATGTCCACCAAGCTGCAGGAGTGATTCCTGCGACTGGCACTCACACAATTACCGTGATTTCTGATCTAAAAATACGGTTAAAATTTTGCTCTTGAGATATATGGTAAAAATGTCAGTTTTAAGGGCTTTCTCACAATAGGGATACAGTTCCTGGTGAGCTGTAACTCAGCCACTGCTCCAGGGGGGACCGCAGTGGCGGCACCTGCCTGAGGCACTCAGGTGAACTGGAAAGGGAAGCAGGAGCTCAGCTGTGCCAATGGCAGCGGCTTCGGCAGCAGCGCTGGATGTAAACCAACCACAGAGATTTATAAATCACTGCTCTTTACAGGCAAATTACTTCTCCTTAGATCAGGGGAAACGAAGTACCCAGGAGGGGAAGAAAATCTTACTTCTGGGAAGTTATCGTGGTTTCATCCCAGAACATCTGCCAGCCCTGGTGTCAGTGCAAAGTAACAAATACATGGCACGAATCTGGGAGTATAAAAGATGTGTCATTACAAGAAGGAGTAGGAGGAAAATAAAGCAAGTTGACAGCTCACATCCTGTGCCATAATCCTAGAAATTGTTAATATTTACAAAATTAACAACTAATATAACCGATGACAATCTCACTCCTCCTGGTTGTCATGAGGATATTAACAGCTACCACCCGCTTCAAACTGGAAATATTACCCATCTCTGGAGCTCCTGCTGCTCAGCAAGCGTGGGGACAGCACAGACTCGCCCTCCCAGTTTTCATACCAGCACCAAGCCATGAGCCAGTGTGGAACACCCAAGTGCTGCCGGGGCTGGAAATGCCTCCTGACCTCACTCAGCTCCCTGGGAGCAGAGGGTCTGGCAGAACAGAAGGAAGGTTTCTCTCTCTCCCCAGATCCTCCAGGGGCCCAGGATCTAGCCCCATGCACTGCAGCATGGTGGGGAGAGCCCGGAGGAGGAGGATGGGTAGCACAAGGCAGCGCTGGAGGGAGGAGAGGCGAGGGCCACGCTGGCTCAGATCGTACCTCCAAACAAGCTGCCATTTCAGGAGAAATGCCCATGCTGCTGGTGTGATTTGCCAGCTGTAAGGCTGGAAGCTAACTGATGAACAGATGCTACAGTGTCATTTCCTTAACAGGAAAGACCTGACTAAAACCAAAATAAAGATGCAAAGGGACTCCATTGGAAACATATTCCCAGACTAACAATCATAAAAAGGTAAAACTTTAGAATCACAGTGCTGTTCCTCACATATTTTTTAAATAGGAAAGAGAGTAACAGCAGTGCCCATGTTCCCAGAGCTGAGATTTGTTTGTTTGTTTGTCTGTTTGTTTTTAACTGTTTCCTGTCCATCAGGAGGACTGCAGGAGGCAATAACGGGTTAACAGACATGGTAAGTACAAGAAAAAAGTGTGGATGGTGCCTGCACATGCAGGTTTTCTGGCTCCATTTTGTCTATCTTAGCAAGGAGAATTAATTTCCCAGGCCACTCTTTGCACAGGCACATCCTATCCATCTTATGGTAATTTAAAAAAGTTTCCTCTGTCAGAGTGCACTGTATGCAAAAAAAATCACCATACTCTTTCCAGTTCACCATATGCAAAATCAAAACAGAGAATTACCAGCTTAATTGCTTTCAAAGAGCTCCCATGTACTGGAAAGTTATAAAAAACAAATTTCCTCTTCACAGGAATAATTTTCTTCCCTTGAAGTGGCAAGCTGTTGGCTGTATCAGAGGGTGGCCCAAAGAGGCATCTGAACAAGTGACCATGAAAGAATGGATGGCAAAAATGTTCTTTTCAAGGCACCCCGAGATCAGGGATCTCATTGTCAACCAGGCCAGTGAAACAATACTGACCAGCAGAGCAAAGAGCTGCCTTTCCAGAGCTTGGTGCTCCCACTGGCACAACACACATGCTCACCTAGGGGGAGCACCCAAGGGCTCACTGGAAGGGGCCTCACTTTGATGGATCCTCTGGAGAAGTGACTATGGGGACCATCAAAGGGACCATCATGAGCTGCAATGCTCGTTAACTGGTTCACCACAGTAGAAAACAGCAGCTCCTTTCCTTGAAGTTCAGTGGCGAAATAATTGTGACCCAGTAAAATAAAACGTTTTTAAATATTAAAAAAGCAATGACTTTAGAGAACAGATACATAAAATCATCACACTCAGATTAAAACTGTTGTGTAGTTTGCTCTAAGAAGCTGGTACCTTTTTAAAAACTCTAAAACCTCAGCATGTTACAACCCAGAAAGCTTGCTTTTCTTCTCCTTGTCTTTTATTTTGTCCTGAGCCTCTGAAGAGCTACTCCTTACCCATTTTGTTTTCTGTTTGTAAAGCTTTATGCATTTCAGTTTTTCATCATCTTCTCAGAACATTATCTTATTTTTTCATCTTTCTTTTCAAGAAACTTCTTTTTTTCCCCCATCTGCCACCATCTTCAGCATAATACTTCTCCCTTTAGGATTTCTTTTATCCTTCACATCTTTATGCCTTTCACTTACTCTTCCCCAGACCCTTCATTCCTGCTTTTGCTTGTCAAAACTGTGTTTCTTCCTCCTTCATGAGGGAAGAAGTGGGAAGGTTGGGTGGATTTTTTTGCTATGAACACCCAGGAATGCTCCAATCAATACTTCGAAACCCTGCAGAGGAGAGATTGCATGAGTCTTTCAACACTTTCAAAATTTGCAACTGCAGTTAATGGAAGTCTGACTAATGCTTGAAAATCATAAGCTTATTTTAAAGCAGTGCTGTAGCTTCCCACCAATAACATCATCAGGCCTTCCCCAACAAGCTTTTCATTTTACATTAGAGACTCTACTCCATGTTTTGAAACCCTTGTACCCCTGTAGCAACTTCTTTTTTTTTCCAAACCCCAGGACACAGCAGGTGACGGACGCAGCCTCAGATACCACCTGAGCCTTTAGGTCTGGCTGGATTTCTGTTCAAGTCAAAGGAAAGCCATAATGCTGCCCCGCTCACAGAAAACCATGTCTGGACATACCAAGGGAGATTCCGGAAGAGTGGTGAATCCAGTTCAGTTGTAAGTGAGTGTACGTAAAACATCCTCAAGCCTCAAAGAAGCTGTCTAGCCATGGCTGCAGGATCTGTCAGGAGAGCAGCGGCTCCACCCTGAGGACAGTGCCACCCTCGAGGGAGGGCTTGCGTAGTGTTCAGTGCCAGGGAAGGGTCTAGAGCCTCTTCACCCTGTCCTGATAAATGTGCCCTTGCTATTTATTTTGTTTCCAAAAAAATCTGTAATAGTAGTTTGGGGATCTTCTGACATTTCACTGTCATTTCATCAGGACTTCTTGTAGCACAATTATTATTGTCATTAGGTCCCCTCACGTGTTAATGCCTACATAACATTTAATTGTGAGCATTCCAGGTGGGGGCCAGTTCTTGCTGTGAATTTTTAGCATGCAACCAACCTAGCACCTTCATGGGCCTGTTTCAGTTGGACCTGTTCCCTAGACAAATCACTTAAGAGGTCTGGAAAATCCTTTGCAGAGCTTGCAACAGATAGAATTGACTGTTCCTGACAAGTCTACCATTTTTACTGTTCTCCATCTGCCTACCAACACTGCCTCATTCTTCTGAAGTACTGAAGACCACTTAAAATGTGTCTAAAGCTTGATGCCAACTTCCTAGCCCCACATGCCAATTCAAAAAATCTGTTGCAAAATGTATGTCAATACATTTATTCCTAGACTAAGGCAACCATGTTACTTAAATGCTGGGGTAATCCTAAATGCACTGGAGAGGATGGTGCTGATAATAGAATCTTCAGACACAAAATGGCTTTTGCAGAAGGTATCACTTCTAGCATGAGATATTTAAAACCTTTTCTTCTCCCACTGAACACCACAGGCCTGTCTCGGCAGTCTGGGCATGCTTCCCAGCTTGCTGTCCGGATAGCAGCCGACTCTCAATGGGTTGCTCGGGTATGAAATTCATGGAACTGGAAATCAAGGGCAGGAAGGTCCCAACACGAGCGATCTAGGTATGAATATCTGTTCTCACTCCTTGAGTTCCCTCATTAGCTTTTGTTCTCCTAAGACTAAAATTGTTTGGAAATCACTGGCTTTTAGGTTTTCCTTCCCCACTGGTAAGACCTGAAGCTATTTGAGCTGTTGAACAATTTGCAGTTTCTGAGCCTGGTTGCAGTGCCAGCTTTGTATAGATAAATATAGAACCTGTGGCATTTTCAAAAGCCATTTGGAATAGCTCTTCAATATAAGCACTTTCAGCAGAGATTAAACACATTATTTGGGTTTTCAGCCTAAAGAAAAAAAATCACTTAAAAAATTGGCAGAATTACCAGTTTCTTCAATGACAGAGTTCTCTTCCCCAAACTGGGGCTGGCAATTGGCAGCTCTTTACAAAGACAATTTTTTTTTCTTTCCTGTCTCCCCCTCCCTACTCTTTGATTTCAAAATAACCTTCAAGGCAAAAAGAGCAAGATACAGCAACATTAAAAAAAAAAAAGAAACTGATTAAATATTTCACTCTTTAAACAAAATGCTTTGCATTTTTACTAACTTGTATCAGATAAAATGCTACCACATTCCTACAGAAGAAATTAACACCTTACAGGAAACTGGACACATTATGTTCCTCAAGGAATTTTATATTTCAGAAGTCCTACTGAAAAAACAACACAACAATACAAATTAAAAACTTTATTAAAATGAATTGGAATATCATATGAAATTTAATATCATATAATATAGGTGTAAACCCCCTGATATTAACAGCATGTGACACATGTGAAGAGAGGACATTAATATACATATAAATAGAAAAGCTAAAATATGTTCAACAGTGATGTATTAAATGGCTACAGAAATGTGACCATAATTAGGAGAATATGTAAATTTGTATCCCTCTAGCAGTACCTTCTAAAGCAGTATAGATAGTAAATTGCATTTAATTCTAGTCTCTGCTTTCTTATAAGTAACAGGAGATGTGAGGGAATATTATAAGCACATGCAAAAGCAATGTAAAAGATATAAAAACAGAGGCAGAAGCCAGGCACTTATTTGTTCTTGGCTGCCAGAGGCTTACGGCTGATCTTCTTTGACTTGTCATTGTTCTTCTTTGGAGGTTCAGGGTTTGCCTGCATGTGTCTGCCATAAAGACTGTAAGGAAATGAGACAAAAAAAATTGTCATACAGGATTTTACTCTGCAGCACGTTAAACAATGCATCTAATTACTAGAAATAAAAAAAGGAAGATCTTTATTTTGTCTCACCACACTGAATTTTCTATTAGATCTCGCTGCAGTCATTAACATTTGGTTTTTCGTGACTTTTTAGGGTAGTAACACCAGTAAGAGCAGGCCTTTGGAGCAGTGAAGGAGCAATCAGTTTTGCCTTCAGAAACTAGCAACCTTTATTCTGCAGTTATGGGATTAAGGCTTGGAAGGCTGCAAGGATGTGTATTCAAGTAGACAATGATAAAAATTGGGTTGAACTGAAGAGATAGAGTGCCCGCTCAGAGCAGAGTGAGCATCATCTCTAACCAGAAAACCCAAGGGCTTGATAATGTGACAGAGAGCAATGGTGTCACAGCAGCCTTTGCTGCTCACACGTGATTGATAGCACTGGGACAGCTACCAACACATCAATGCCACATTAGTAAGTACCACTGATTAAATGTTGACAAAGTATCCTACAATTAAGACACTGGCATTCACTGTGAAGCTAAATAGACTACATGGCTGAGAGGATCTTGCTAAATATCACATAGTAATTGATAGATAATTTATGAGTAATCCCGATTAAACTAAATTAAAAACCTACCCAAAATAAACACAGCTCAAATTTAACTTCCCTTATTGACATAATGTGCTTTCTAAAGACGCGCTTTTGGTTGGGGTAATTTTCTTTATAGTAGCTGGTATGGGGCTGTGGTTTGGATTTGCACTGAAAACAGTGTTGATAATAGAGATGTTTTTGTTTTTGCTAAGCAGTGCTTGCAAAGAGCCAAGGCCTTTTCTGCTCCTCACCCCACCCCACCAGCAAGTGGGCTGGGGGTGCACAAGTTGTTGGGAGGAGACAAAGCTGGGACAGCTGACCCCAACTAATGCAAGAGATATTCCAGACCATACGGGGTCATGTTCATCATATAAATCTGGGGGAAGAAGGAAGGGGGGGATGTTCAGAGTGATGGTGTTTGTCTTCCCAAGTCACCACTACAGGTGATCTTGGAAGTCTTTTCCAACCTTCATGATTCTGTGACTTTATTCTATTCTTTACTATTCTAATTCCACGTCAGGACGTTAAAAGCTACCACCTGCTATGAGCTTTATTTTGCTGTATCTGGAAGATACTTCAACCCTAGGGTTCCTAGACCATGGAGTGGGATTAGAGCTTCTTGTAGGGTGGGTTGGAGAGGAAGTGCTAGCTTTCACCTTCTCAGCAGCTGAAGATTTACATCATGCTGCTAAGCAGGCTGCTGTCAAGGTGTACTGTAGCTAAAACAGCCTTGCTCAAGGAAAATACAACTGTAAACTACGACATTACTTCACCTTACTGAAATTTTATATGTGTCATCACCTACTGTCAACAAGGGATCAGGTGCCATTTCCTGATGAATGCAGAGAGCCCTGACCCTCTGTCATAACTACATGCTTCGTGTTAGCTATAACAGTCATATTTTTCTTCTATTTCATAAGAGATAGAGCCCCAACAGCACAAGACTGTATTTTATCCAAGTACACAGTATGCATACTAATCAAACATCTATCCTAAATAACTGTCCTGTTTTGGAAGGCATTAAGTGAGTTGAGGGAGGGAGTATATGGAAGGAGATGGTTTAGTATTGGGAAATACTATCAATGTAGAAGAGCACAGAGGTGACATTCAAGGAGGTTGTCCCATCAGAAACTGATCCAGGGTAGAAAAGGTCAGGGAACAAGCAGTATCTTGTTCTCAATGATATGCAATGCAGCTTTTGAACCACTGTCAGCAATATTTTTGTAACTCCAAGAAGTTAGCAACAGAGAAGTGGAAATGTATACTCAAATCTGTGAACACCAATAGTTAGCTAAATACTAAATTAACATTCAAGCTGTTTTTTGGCTCTTTTTCATAGAATAACAAAGTCCCCATTTGGGATTTTAAGCACTGAATTAACAGAGAATCCACTGGTCCATCATATTTGAGCACAAAAACCTTTCACAGATGGGAACAGAAGTCCCCTGTCACTGTCCTGTCTTCCGCATCCTGCTGCCTCACAGCTCCTTTGTCCTGTTAGTGCCAACCCAGAGAGGACTGAAACAGCTTTAGTGGTTTTCAGCTATTACATACCCTCTTTTTGCACAGGTTGCTTTAGGCTCTCCTTTTTTTGGTTTGGAAACTTCACGTGAGTTTCCCTCTCAGGTGACCCTTTTGGCATTTGTTACACCTCTCATTTCTTCCTTTCTCAGTGCAAATGTTCAAAGTTTGTGAACTGGCAGAGCTCTGGTAGTGAACTTTTCCTGAAGCAAAAGGGTGTGGTGGGGATTCTACTGACTACGCAGATGCTTTCCAAGTGCAGAAACTGAATATTGACAATTTTGAATGAACTTCAGAGTTCTGCTGAAGGCGTGGGCGTGGGCAACGCCTTTTGACCTTGAAATGAGATCCAGTAGCCACTGCATGTGTTAAGCAGTAGGAATCCCAATTTACCTGTAAGGATTTTTGGTATTTCTTTGATATTTGCTCCTTACAATGTTCAATGCTATTGGTGCTCCAGTGATTCCCTTTGCCCCATGCAAATAGTCCATTAGTAGTAATAGATGTACATAAGTTGAAGGCATCTACAGAAAATTTCACATTCCTTTTATTTATTCTCATGTCCAACCACTTCTATCATCATGTGCACTGAAGTTTCATCCAGGAAAATAATTACTGGGTTTGAAATAAGCAAATCAAATACATTTACTTAGGTTTTCCTGGCAAAATGTCAAGTAAGTTTCAGCGCACATTGCCATCTCAACTGAAGATGAGTGCTTTACAGTCTATCACAGGAGTCTGCTACACAAAGAGCAAGGATCAGATCTATTTGGATTATACAAGCCTTCACACACAGGGTCTCTCTCTTGTGTTTGCATACATCAAATATGAGGAGACATATGGTGTCACAACAACATTTAAATACAATAATGACTGTGATAATGCCTCTGGGACAGAATTTGCATTCTGTTACACTCGGGAAAAGAGAACTCAAAATTTTCAATGAACTTTTGGTAGAATAACAGACACCACTTTCATAGCTCCCAAGGGGGAAAAAAAACACAGGAAAAAAAAGCAAAAGAAAAAAACTAATGGAGCTTATCTGCACAGAGAAGTAACTATCTGAATTCCACAAGAACCTATAACCCTTTGGTTGTAATAGATGTGAAATTTGCATACACAGCCTTTAATGATTTCAATACCTACTGGAAGGATGCAGCAACAGAAGTAGCCATAGCCAAGCTGTCCAAACTGTGTACATGCTCCTGCTCTGCATCAGTGCAAAGTCAGCTGTGTTAGGCAGAGACAATTGCACCTCGTCCTCGGCAGCAGAGGTCAGCTTATGACACGGACACAGACAACTGTGCAGCTCAGCTGACGGATGGTAATGTGCTGGGAGATGGCACCTTGACATCGCTGTTTGCATGACTAGACCCTTAGCCACAGCAGATTGTCTCCATAAAGAAACCAAGGAACACTGAGGCAGGTTGTGGCTATAGTTTCAAGGCAGCTTTGTGAGATAAGTGCTGGTAACACATGGCAGCACCTTCCCACTTGAGATTTTGAAACGTCACCTGTTTATGGAGCTGGTACTGCTCTGAGAAGGACACTACACACAGTTCACAGGCCAAAACCTCCGCTGAAGAATAAAATCTGGAGTGCAAATAAATATTTGAGATGTTTGCAGTTTGCAGCAACAGTCAGAAGTTAGTTATTATAACCACAGCTCACACACTGCAGAACCTCTGTAGACTTAGCAGCCACAGTACTGCATGCAGCCTTCTTATTATGTTAAAGGGGAGATTACATGCAAGACTGAAAGCTCTCAGATAGAGACTTCCAATTGCTTTCTTTCCTTGTATATATTTTTCAAAGCAAATATATCTCATGAACATAAATGTTTCTTTGTATGCAGATATAAACAGAAACAAAATTTCCCTGCATTCTCCACCTGCCCCACTGGAAGTAACAAACGAGAGCACTACGGCTGCTGCAGCAGCAAAACTAACAATATCAAGTGAGAAAGATGCTCATTAAACTTCATCATTCTGTCTACTTTAATGATGTTTTTACTTAATAAAAATTCCCTAAGTAGTTGCAAGGATATTAGGCAAGGTCTCTAGTTATGTATCAGGGGCCTAAGCTGTCACTAGCAAGCATGCAGTTCAGGAGGGGCATTCCCAAGAGGAAAGAGCGAATACAGCTTTCTTGTAATAAATTCCAAGAGAATCAATAACCACAGCCTGCCACATTACTTAAGTATTTAGGACAGTAGGTGATCCTTCTAAATTAAACTACAAATTGCAAAATATTGCAATTTACAGCATAAAATCAGGCATGGAGCCTTGTAACTTGAAAGTATACAGTCTTGTTACCAAAATCTCTGAATTTAAAAACTGAACCACAGTTAAAATTAATAAAGTTCAAAAGAATCAGTTTCAAAAACCACCTTCAGCACAACTGTCTTCAAGTCTTCTCTCTTGTACAACAAAATGTTCACTAGCCGAGGGCTACATGCTCCCAGAGATGAAGAGCAAACTTGTGTAAACTAGGGAGCTACTGCAAAGTGTTTGATGCACACATTGATTTTCTTCAGTTCAAGCATTTTGAAAGAGGATTTCGAGATCGAGCCATAAGAAATACACTGCTCTCACTTTATGTCTGTAACAGACCTATAGGGTTGAGTATGCAGTATGAAAAGGACTGCACAGCTAAATACAATCCTGGAGAGATGCTACCTCCAGCTATGTACTGTAATCTGGGAAACAAAGGTGAAACATTCCAGCTTGCTTTTTCAAAAGCTGGAGCTCAGGATCAGGCAGATACTTAGTGCTCAGATGAAGCTTCAAATGTGGGTATTTACAGTGACCCCAAAAGGATGGTCCCAAGCCTCAGCTGCTGAAGCAGGAGACAGGAAAGGC